TGGACATTTGAGAAATTTAAAAATTACTTAAATAAATCATTAGAAAATGTTTGAAAGTGTCAGTAATACACCAAAAGTCCAAAATCAATGAGTGTAAAATTTAGTCTTCCTATTTAAAATAGATTTGAAGGACATTTATTAACTATTGTGGCCATGCTTCATGTTAGGCACACCAATACTTAAAAACTCTTGAACATAAAAAAATCTTTAAAACAGAAATTTTGTCTGTTATAATATTGTCTGGAATCAATTTTTAAGTTTTCAGTTCTCAGAAAAAAATTCTATGTGCAAGAAAACCTAACGGTGATGTATCTGCTCAGGCTAATTTTTACTTTTTGTATTTTATAGTAATATAATTAAATAACATAATTGAGTAAAACTGTAAAATTGCTTCTGACATGTAGGACAAAACATCCCAGAAATAAACTAGAATGTGAAATCTGAGGGTACAAATTAGCAAAACAGATATGGGGTCTATCTGTTACCGCTACAACGATGTCACGTGACAAGGCTATACTTCATGCAGCGGTAAGAGAGGCAATAAACCCAAGTGCTATGAACTGGAAAAAACTTGCTTCGACAACCAGCACGACTGAAATCACAGACTTAGAGCAATACTTCTGTCAAGTTAGAAAAAAATGCTGAGTAAGCTGGAACTTCACAGTAGGAACAGTCCAAAATGTTAAAACCTTGCACGTAAAGGAGAACGTTAAATTCGATCCCAATGCCATTTTTAACATTTTGCTTTCTAGAGCCATAGCTGAAAGGCTGTTGTTTTGTTAAGCCCCATGCAAAAACCCATCCCTTCCTGTCATTTTAAACAGTATGTTCACATCTCTTATAGCATTACTTTATGTTTTCCCAGCAGAAACAATTACATCCCTAGCAATTCCACAAGGCACCTTCTTTCTCTAAGTCTGACTAAGAAATCTGTAAGCAGTAACCGTACAATAGCTCCTGTGAGGGGCCCTGCAGTGCTGAGGAAGCCGTGTCTCTGTGCCCGGACAGAGTGGGGTTTGTGAACCTCCCTGCTGAATCTAGCATGATTCGGCCCCACGGCCCCACAGAAGAACTACGTGTACCTCGGAACTACTACACTGAGTTTAAAATAAATCATTTTCCAGTGTATCTAGAAGTACTAAAAAATAGACACCGCTTTCCTCCAAAAACATTAAAGGAAACAACTGTCCTCAGGAGTTCTCTCTTGCATTGCTTTTGCACACACACTTTCACCATCATCCTGTAAAGTGACACACTGGCAACTTTTTTGGTGACAACTAATGAAAACATTTCGAATTTGCATCATGCTTAGCCACTGACAGAAGTGTTAACCATGCATTTTTTTTTAACACCACGCAGTCTGGTTTCATGACTCTGAAGCACTTAGACTCAATTTACCCACAACGCTGTCTACGAAACCTGAGCTTTTTTCCTTCTTTGACTTATTATGACATGAAGCCAAGTGAGAAAAAACAGGTTGAGACCTCACTTAACAAGGGCCCATGCTACCCTTCTCTGCATCAAGATCATGAAAACACCATCAAACCATAAACCAACGTGCACTGATTTAAATGGCTATTTTAACAATGATACACAATGAAAACTGGTTGTAATTTAAAGACTCCCTATTGTTGCCACCTCAGTATTCCTGCAGGTGAGGGCAAGACAGAGACGTAAGTGAACTTCATTTTAAAACTTTAAATATTTGCTTTACTTGACTATATATTTAGAAATGTTCTACAACTGCTCAGTAAGACATTTTATAACAATTAAAATAACAATGCTATAAGTAAAATAGCAATTAAGGATGTACTCTTAAAGAAGAAAATGATAAAAATTTTAAACTTAAAAACAGAACTTAATGTTTTTAGTGTTACAAGTTTATTGAATTCATAAAAAGAATTTATCTTGGATTCCTTTAAATAAAAAATATCCATATGTGGTTAAGTATCTCGATGCCATTTACTTATGCTTAGGGGTAGAAAAACTGGGGTGCAGCAAAACTTGAAAATTACTATGAACCAATGCCAAACCGAAATCAATCAGACACTAAGCCAAACATTGGAAAGTATATCTCTAGTTATTAGGCAATAATACTTAATTTCTAAAATAGAATTTAAAATGGAGCTTTTTAAGAAATTTAAAATTTGTCAGTTTAGTTGCATTTATTGAATAAAGTTAATGACAGGTATCTCTTGAAAATTACAAGTCCAGGGACTTTAAAAATAAAATTTCTGTCTCCTTTCTTTATTAGCACAATTAATTATGGCTTCTACTTAGTGTGCATAAGTCAAATAAACAACTCAGAATTTCATCAAATTAAAAACAAGAATTATATCAGAAATCTGAAACCCAAGGGAAAAAAGATAATATACTAACCCTGAACAAGTGATCGCTCATGCTAGTTGAAGGATCTGAAAAATTCCTGAAGTTTCTTCTTCGAGTAAGATTCCTTTTGGGCTCTACGCTATTACTAGAATTTTCAGCAGAAGGTGGTCCATCAACAGGCCTTGGAGGAACAAAGCCAAGGAAAGAACTCTTGTGCTGTTTCTCCATCTGAAGTTTAGTGTTCATCTCTGCCAGCCTCTCATTAGCCCTGTGAGGACTGCAAAACACACATTTCATTAACTTCATTTTTCTCCTAAGTGGTATGCATTTCTAAAGTTGCTATAATAGTAAACAGATTGTCCCATTAAACTGTGTTTTGACACCAAAAAACACGTCAGCGCAGACCTACTGAAACAGTTACAGTTTAAAACTGTCCTAAAGAAGGACGTGTGTGCCTGGGGGGGCCCTTAACAAGTACTTCAAAGTGGGGAGAGTCAGAGATGGACACGCCTCCACAGAGGATCCCCACTGCCTTCTGCACTGGCTGCATCTAGACATACTCACCCTCAGTAAACCAGTTTAGAAATAAAAAATAAACCATCCCTCAAAGCCATTTTCAAGCATTTGCTTTCACCCCCCCTTATATACACATTTCACTCATTACCTGGAGAAATTAAGCATGTGGCACTGAGGAACAGTTTAGAGCCACCAACTCTGGGGGGCACCAGGTGGCAGAGTTGATGGTGGGAAAGTACTACGACAGTGCCAGGGGCAATTTCAAGTGTCCCCCAATTTCCCAAAGCTCACTTGGTGACTTCACTTCTACCAGAGGCCTACATCAGCACCTGTTTTCCATAACCAAAAAAAATCCCAAGCAGATTTTCACTTTTATGGAAAAAAAAAGCAAAAAAGCCAGAATAGCACTGGGTGTTTGTTTTAGCCCGAGCCATCAGAAGGGCAGTGAGCACCCCGAGCAGCGAGAGGGGCCCCACCGAGCTCCTTCCCCAGAACCACACTCAGTATCCCAGCATCACGCCGCCACGGCTTTGGACTGTGTCTGTGAGCGCCTGGGCTTCATGCATGTTTATTTTATGCATCCACCAGCAAGATGTGTCCTAAGGTAACTGCCCCTTTGCTTTACACCGACAACTTTCACAGGAACGCTCTACTTTCAGATAGCGGGGAGACCTGTAGCTTGTAACACTGCTACTCAGGCACCGGAGGTGGGACCCGCCCTTTCGGTCTTCCACACACCCCCTCGGGCAGGCCACCATATTCTTCTTAGCCACTTTGTGAACCACTATACTGCCCTTCACCCCGATGTTAATTTCTGTTTCCCAAGCATGCCTTTACGTAGCGGAGACAAACTTAGAAGGGTACAGTACTTCGTCTCAGGGTGCCCATGAGCGGTGATACCAAATATCACAATCAAGAAAGTAAATTCACCAAACACCAGCATGGGGCCCCTTGGGTTTAAGTTGTACTCTTCCAAAACACAGTTAATTTTAAACTCATTAACATTTCTATATATGGCAATTCCAGTTAAATTTTTGTGAGAATATGGCTGTCTAAATTACAGAGTTTGCAAAACCCCTAGCTTAAAGACTAGATCAGGTTAAATATATGCAAATATAAAAAATAAAGTCATGTAAAAGCAACAAAAGGCAGGGAGATGCAAACTGCCCTGGACTGACATTTTAAGGACAGTTCATTTGCTAACATCATTTCCCAAAATTACACTATCTAGTTAGCTCTCACTTGCTACTCACCTCATGAACCTGGCTCAATAAAAATGATGCCTTAGAGGCAAGTTAGTGACCTAAATTATTTTCTATAATTCTACGTTTTGACTTACGAGTTTAGTTGACTTTCCAATGACATTCTATTTTCTAGCTCTTCCAGGTACAGTTGTTTGTACTTTTCCAATCTGTTTTCATTAGAATCACTTTTTAGTTCAGGTTCCAGATCTTTAACTTTGCGTTCCATTTTACTTACTGAAGCACGTTTACACTCTCTTAATGAGTTTTCTTGAGATGCTGCTTGTGCCTACAGCAAATTAAAAGGACACGATTTTAAAAATAATTATAATCTGAGTAATTACAGTATATTTGTTCCCTTTAGTTTTGAGTGAATGATTCAGAAAGCAATTTTAAGTGCGAAAAAAAAAGCTGAACGTTAAAATACTTATCAATGTCAAGTGAATTAAATCTGAATTACAAAATTAAGGTTGAATCACTCTTATATTAGTACTCATGTAATGTGAAAATTCAAAGAATAATAGGATCAATTTAAACTTTTAAAAATTGAACAATACAACCTAAGAGTAATCCAAAAGTGTGGTACAATATTTAAATAACAATATATTCTTTTCCTCCTAGTAGTCTTGATTTACACCAACTGGTCTTAAAAGTGATTCTCTAGTGAGTTGTTCTGAAAGATCAATTTAGTGACAGTAATGATGGAAACTGAATTATTTACAAGGAGTAACAAATGCGGCCTTCCTTCCAGAAATCTACAAAACAAACTGCTATATGGGAAGTAGAGGAAACACATAAAATGTATACATCTGAACTGTAATTCTCAGCGAAGTGACTTACAGCATGTTACAGATCAATGCTTCACCTGTAAAAACTGGCTGAGTTCTTTCAATTGTTCTACTACATCCAGTCTTGCTTGCTCTTCAGTCTCCCATTTGTACTGCACAACTTGACTGAGTTCTTTCAGTTTTTCTACTACATCCCGTCTTGCTCGCTTTTCAGTCTCCCGTTTGTACTGCTCTACTTGACTGCGTTCCACTGTATTCATTTCTAGGTGACATTTGAGGCTACTTCTTCTCCCAACTTCTTCTCCTCTAGTGTTTCACATTTCTTTTGCATCTCTTTCACAGATATAACTCCTTTAGAAGTTGAGTTTCTGCACTCAGATGGAGAAGTACTGAAGATACAGATTCCACTTTTGCTGGAAGATCAGCATTCTGCATGAAGAAGATAAAATTGTTTGGTAGTGAGGTTAGCAGACTGAGAACAGCCTAACTCTAACCCAGCATCAAAGGTTGAAATAAATTCAGTTACAATAAAATAGTATCTACCTTGTGGAATGGAGAAACTCAAATTACTCAGAAAATCAAGAAAAAAGTTCAAACCACCAAGAGTCACAAAAATATACTGTTTAATGTCATCATCTTTGTTATACATTTGTACTTGATTTTACACTCTTATTTTTCTGTAATTGTTTCATGTCTTTCCTACACAAAATGACTATAAGGCACCTCTTAGTAGAAAGTCTCTTACCCCTTCCTCCCCCAAGTCTTAACTCTCCATGATTTTTAAAGTTTTAGGAAGATCATATTGAGTTACTTACGGCTGAATTAATAAATGCCTCCCAAAACAAGACTTCGAAAAAAAAGCTGCAATTAATACATCTTACAGATATGGATTCTCACGCCATAAGCCTTTCTCTGAACTACAAATATTTTATGCTAGTTTGAATTGCATTCCAAGGAGCAATGAATGATTTGCAGAGTTAAGGAGAAATCCATCTCCTAGGGTAGTGGTTTAGTAAGGTGATCCATACATTTTTCTAAACAAACAAACAAAACAGCCTTAATTCTTGTAATCCTTTGTAGCTGTCCACAAAACAAGAGAACATACTCAACAAAAAAAAAATTTGCTGGAATTTCAGTGACACTGACTTGGGAAGAACTACTTTCCTTCAGATAGAAGGGTTATTTGGTAAGGCAAGACAGGCAGATGTGGTGGTTGTAAAACATCTCTACAAGTTCTCTGACTCTTCACCTGTGAAATTCTCTCCCCTGAAGTATGTACTGGCCTCAAGTCAACTGGTTTCTAGGGGACAGAATGTGGGGACACTGCCGTGTGCTTTCTAAGGCTAAATAGCTTCTGACTTTCACTCTGTAGGGATGCTCACTCTTAGAAGCCAGCCACCACATTGTGAAGCCCAGGCCACCTACTGAGTCCTGGTACATGCAGCTGTCCCAGCTGATGACCCCAGGGAACGTCCTTAACCAAAGCCAGCTCCAACTTCCAGATATGTGCACAAACAAGCCTTTAGGTTATTCTAGTGCCTGCCTGATGCCAAGTGGAGAAGAAATGAGCTGGCTCCGAGCCCTGTCTAAACACAGATTTGTGAACCAAGCAAATGCTGTTCTGAGTCACCAGCTTTTGAGGCAGTTTATTATATAAATTATTAGCAATAAATAACTGGCATAGATATTGATATTAAAAATGGGGTGCAGCCATTAGAAAAGAACCCAAAATGTGGGGATGCCTTTGAGCCTGGAGGTAGGTGAAACCTGAACAGATGTAGAGAAGAGTAAGAGTGAAAACCCAAAGTGTCCACGAGACTGAGTGGAAGCCTGAGGGCCCTTGAAGGGCTGAGAGTGAAGGCTTCTAGACCAGGGAAGAAAACGACACTGAAACCGGAGGAAATGGAAATCTTGCTACCAAACAGCTGAAAGTAAAATTGATGAGAGAGATAAGCTGAAACAAACAAAAAGATTATTAAATATAAAGGAATCAGGACTCACTGGGTTTAAATATATGTATCCCATTTAAAGCATCTCCACATGCCAATTGTCACATAATGGGTAAGCAGAGAAATGGCTTCCGGTCTAAGATCAAATGTAGGATGCTGCCAGGAAAACAGTCTAAAGATGAAGCCAAGACTTTGTTAAGACCTTGAAAAGATTTAAGGTGCCGCCTCAAATTCCTTTAAAGATCTTAAAAGCATAAGAATTTTAAAGGCATGGTCCCCCAACAGCTTCACAGGAAGCCCAAGGTGAAGAGTTTATCTCAAAAAGACATGAAAGCAGCTTTTCCAATGGCACGAACCCCAATAAAATTCACAGAAAACTCAAAGAGAACTGTGGTAGCAAAAACCTGTTTTCCAGCTTGGACTGAATTAGACAAAGACAGTGCAAAACGGGAAGAGGCCTTTGGGTTTTTCTTAGAAGGTCTACAAGGAGGAAGCTGGCTTGAGAGAACTACTCGTCTGCAAACACCAGTCACTGCTCATGAAAGAGACAGAACAAAGAGCTCAGGGAGGGCAGCGAAGGAGAACCCCCCCCAAGGTTAGGACTAAGTCCTAAACAAAGAGCCAGCAGCATCAGGCTGCATTTCAGAATGCTACGAACCAGTGTGCCTCCCATCTTCCATCTGTGAGTGAGGGAGTCCTTAGCAGTTTAGCAGAATGTTGGGTGTGTGGTGGCAAATAACCCGTGTCTCCTTCTCCTCAAGCCTCAGCACTGACAGGAGTGTACCCAAGGGGCTGTACTCCAGAAACCACGCCCAGGAACCTCAGCCCCACCTGGACCTGGTGACGATGGTAAAGTAAGACTCTGGACTGGAGCCTGAGCCTAACACCACAGCGACCGAGACCTGCTCGGGGACTGAGTGGGGACAAGTGGATTTCTCGTATGGAAGCAGTAAGAAAACATGGTGGCTATTGAGTAGATTATGCTGGCTTTTGAATGTCTCCATAAATTTTCAAAATTAATTCCATAAAAAAGGTAGAATATGGGCCAACATTAAGTGCCCTGCTCCTAATGAACAGAAAGCGGTGAAACTGTCTCCGAGTGAACAGCAGGGCTAGGTTTAAAAAGGCAATTCAGCTTCTGCCTCGCTCTTAACCCTGGAACCCAGTCTCAGGTGGGCAAGCTCAGGCCACAGAGACAGCTTACGTGTTCCAGGGGAGGTGGTCCACCTGCCTACCCCACCAAAGCCACAGCCCACCGCCAACATCAACCATGAGACATCAATGGATGAGGCTTCAAGTGATTCCAACACCCCGCCTTCAAGCTGCCCCACTTGAAGCTGAGAGGAATATAGGCCAGCTGTCTTGGCCACACTTTTCCTAAGTGTAGGTTGTGAAAATAAATGCTTATTTAAGCCACTGAACTTTGGGGAGTTTGTCAGGCAAAAACATATAAACAGAAAAGTGGATAAAAACAACAGTAAGAAATGTAACTTGAATATAGTAGAAATTGGTCTCCTATAAACTGAAATGTAACCAACATTGAGATTAACTTATTAATGACTTATTAATAAAGTGCTGATGAGAAGCAGATAACTGAAAGACCTAAGAACTAATGAGAAGGAAGATACTTCAGAGTTCCCTCCAATTACAGTTTCTTACAAATAGGCATGTATTTCACAATTTCCCCTCAACTTTGAGGATAAGGAAGACTGGTAAGCAAGGAGACATAGGATTTGAAGTCTAATAACTGAAAAACAACTAGAAATAGTCAGTTTACCAAAATCAGCCTTTTTACCTCATTTCAATTAACTGAAATTCTAAGAGACAGGCAGCTTTGAGAACTTATTAATCTAGCACTCATTCTTCATTTTCCTTCCCTCAGAGAGAAAAAAAAATATTATGGAACCATAAATGTAGTGTCCTTTGGCAGTATTTAAATTAAATACAACTTTTCCTTTACCTTACTTAAAAGCTTGTTGGTAAGGGAAGGTAAGACTGTCTCAGCTTTATGTCATAGCGCAATGCTTCTCCATATCACACAGATTGGCTTTGAACTTTTGAAATTCAAGTTACCAATCTGTTATCTGTTTCTGATAAACTGATTGAATATTATCTAATTTTTAACAGCTGTACTCTTGAAAATTTTTCCTTGGATGGGATGAAATATTTATTTCATTAATTATGCATTAAGCTATAGAAAACAGCTAGGCATCTCTCTTTTTAAGTAAAAGGAGGTAGACAAAGGGAGCTGAGAATGCAGGATCTGCACCAAGAACAAGATTGGCACCAGTGTTACACACAAGAACCAAGCCAAAAGAGGACTTCATCGTGAATCGCAAGATGATGGATTAGAGAGGCTTCCAAAGAGGAAGGTTGAATTAATCTTTTCCAGGCTTAATCTTTTGCCTCTAGATAGTGAAATCTATGGATGAGTCTGTGAATTATAATGAGTGCAACATAATGAAGTATATTGCAGACTGAATCAGAAGATCCCGTGACCATGATTTGATGGAAACTGGAGTGAAGTGGGAGGCACTGGGTGAGAAACTAAAGGTCTCAATGGGAGGGAAGGAACAGACTTTATCTTTGCAAGCCTTCTTTCTGTCATGTCACAGAGTTAGCAAGACATAAGCTGACTACAGGCCCCTTCAGGAAGCAGCAGATCTCCACAGAAGTAGAGTTACAGACATCCCATGACACTGACTTTTTATTATTATGTAAAACAACTGGTACAATGCAAGATGACTCGGAAAGAGTTCTCATAACATCTGAATTGGTACTGGCATAGGATAGACATAGATCAATGTATCACCAGTGAGAATCTAAAAGAAACCCTCACATTTACAGTCAACTGATTTGCAATATGAGTGTCAAATAACTGAACGAGACAATAGTAGTCTTTTTAACAAATGGTACTGGGAAAATTGGATATCCACATGCAAAAGAACAAAATTCGACCTCTACCTCATACAATATATAAAAAATTAACTCAAAATGAAAGAGCTAAAACTACAAAATTCTTAGAAGAAAACACAGGTGTGTGTCTCCGTGACTGGATCTGGCACTTGCTTCTTAAATAGGACAGTAAAAGACAGAAATAGATTAACTGAACTTCATCAATATTAAAACCTTCTACTCTTCAAAAGACACCATCAAGAAGGTAAGAAGGCAAGCTCCTGAATAGGAGAAAACACTTGAAAATCCTACATCTGATCAAAGACTCACACCCAAGATACAAAAAGAATTCTTACAATTCAATCATAAAAAAAATCCAATTTTAAAATGGGCAAAAGCCTGGACAGGTCTTCAAAGAAGATACACAAATGGATAAGCACATGAAAAGATCCCCAACATTCTTAGTCATCAGAAAAATGCTAATCAAAACCACAATGAGATGCCAATTCACACCTACCAGGAGAGCTAATGACCAGTGTTGACAGGAATGCACAGAAATTGGGAGAATTATACACTTTGGATAAAAATGTTAAATGGTGCAGCCACTCTGGAAAACAGTATGGCAGTTCCTCAAAACGTTAAACAGGGTTACCATATGACCCATATGACAGCATTTCCATTCTTAAGTCTGTTCCCCAAAGAAATGAAAACATATTTACACCAAAACTTGGACAGAAATGTTCACAGCAGCATTACTAACAATAGTCAAAAAGCAGAGGTAACCCAAAGGTCCATCAACTGATGGATGGATAAACAGTTTAGCCCCACAACCGAGTAATGTTCGACAATAAGCAGAAATGGAAATACTGACAAGCGCTATAACATGGATGAACCTTGAAGATGTTTTATCAAATGAAGAAAGCTAACCATGAAGGACCACGCAGCATGTGATTCCATTCATGTGAAACACCCAGAACAGGCACATCTATAGAGACAGAAGTCAGCCTGTTGGCTGCTGGGTGCTGAGGGGGACGGGGGGGTGATGGCCAAGAGATGCAGGCTTTCTTTTTGGGGTGATGGGAATGTTCTAAAATTGACTGTGGTGACAGCTGCACATCTCTGAATATACTAGGAGATACTAACTAAACGGGTGACTTATATGATACGTGAATTTTTTTTTTTTTTTGGTTGGAGGAAGTTAATTAGGTTTAAGTTATTTATTTTAGAGGAGGTACAGGGAGTCGAACCCAGGACCTTGTGTATGCTAAGCATG